TCAGTATATATCTACAAGAATCATATTAAAATCAAAAGAAAGGAGTATGGTTAGTGTATACACAAAAAAAAGTGGTTATAAATTGATATTTTTTTTTTGCTTTGTTTCCATGGTTTTGGTTTTGGTTTTGTTTTGTTTTTTTTTATCTTTTTGTTCTATTCGATTGGCATCTAAAAGAGAAAAAAAAATTTCAACCTATCATTGGTATTAGCTAGCTAGCTCTCTGATCAGATCTGATCAGAGCAAAAAAAATTTGCAACCAAACGACTAGAATAAGAGCATTTTCATTTCAGTATATATCTACAAGAATCATATTAAAATCAAAAAGAAAGGAGTATGGTTAGTGTATACACAAAAAAGTGGTTATAAATTGATATAATTTTTTTTTTTTGCTTTGTTTCCATGGTTTTGGTTTTGGTTTTGGTTTGTTTGTTTTTTTTTATCTTTTGTTCTATTCGATTGGCATCGAATATTAAAAGAGAGAGAAAAAATTTCAACCCATCATTGGTATTAGCTAGCTAGCTCTCTGATCATCGCCCTGGTTTTAATTTTTGTAAGAAGAATTGTAAGAAGAATAAAAAGAATGCCAATTTACATAAAATTTAAATCAATTTATATCTATTTAAATAGCAATCTTTTTTTTCACATTTTTATTTTTCTTCTTTTCGGTTTTGTTGTTCAATACATTTTATTTCTTTTATTCTTGCTGGTATTCCATCATCGTCATCATCATCATCATCATCATCATTGTTGGCTTTAAAGATACACATACTCATCTATATATATATTATTCATCAATTCTGGAATTCAAATTCAAATTTTTTTTTGTTCTCTCTTTTTTTTGCACTATTTTTTTTTCTTCATCATTCAGTTTTGTACCACAAACAAGAACATTGACATTGGTGGAAATAGAATGATATAAAACAATGCTGAAGAATAGCGAGAGATGGAAGAAAGAAAAAATAATATCATTATCATCATTATGATTTTGATCTGCATCTGATGGTTTTTTTTCACTCAAGTTGTTGATAGTCGATGATTCTTGTTGGATAGATAATAATCTGATCAAAAACATTAGAATTTTGTTGTGTGATTCTTGTAATGGATTTTCTTAATTTTTTTTCCATCAATTTTTTTTTTCTATGTTTGAATGATGATTGAAGAAAAGAGGAAACAATAAAATAAACGACAAAAAAACAGTAAAACAAAACCAAAACCAAAAAAACAAACAAACATGACAATGGTCGATATTAATGGCATTTTTTGATGTTTATGTTTGTGTATGTTTTCAACAATTTCACTAGAATCGTAAACATGAGGGAAACTTTTTTTTTGTTTCATGAATACATGTCTGTTTTTTACCGTGTATATACCGTGATATAAACTAAATTGGAACCGGAATTGTCATCATGTTTACATGATGACCATTGGTTGGTCAGAGTGTAATTTTAAAATTTTATAATTTTCAACTCATTTCATCGACATAATGTTTGTGTGAATTTCGGTTGAAAAAAATTTTGAACATCATCAATGGATGTGAGAAAAAAAAATGACGGAAACATTTATTTTTTCAGCCAAAAAAAAATGCTAATATAATGATCATGATAATTTGTTTGGATTGAGAGCCAAAAAAAAAAAATTCAATCCTATGGGTATCATTTTGTCTCATTTTTTAAGTTGAAAAAAAAATTTATTTTCCTGTTTTCGTTCTCGTTCCCGTTGTTGTTGTTGTTGTTGTCGTCGTGGAGAGGATTTTTTTTATGGATCCAAATTAATATGAATCATAAATCGATTGACATTCAATAAACGGCAATTTTTTTTCTTCAATAGAAAATTAAACTACCACTTGGTATATTGATGCATGTTGTTGTTGAAATTTTGGTGAAAAAAATTCATTTTTTAATGCCAATAATTTTTGCTCATTCATCCATATATATATTCATACATATATGCTATAACGACATGAAGGTTTTTACCCGCGTGTTATAACGTGTGTGTCATATCATTCAATATATGAAAATTGTTTGATTATTGGATAAAAAAAAATGGTGGCAACAACAACAAAATGGTATAGAGAAAAAAAAACGTATGGAAATATTCAAATACTATGTTTGTAATTGGAATTGAAATGTTGTTCATGGATTTCAATTTTTTTGAAGAAACCAAATGAACAAATGCAATGAATAACGACAATTTTCATTCAATTTGCTTGCTGTCAGACGATGAATATTTCGTTTTCCTTGAGAAAAAATAGGGTGTAAATAAACGAGGAAAATTTTTTTTTTTTTTTTTTTTGTAATAATTTGAATGGAATAATATGAATATATGAATTCACACAATATAGCCTGAAGGTATTATAGATCTTACGTTTTTACATATTTTTTTTTCTTTTCATTGCTGTCATTTTTGATTTCGTTTTAAGTGAAATTGCATGATAATAATAATTTTGAACAAAACAAAAAAAAAAAAATTCACGTTTTTCTTGATTTATTTTCTTTTTTTCTTCTGACGACTATGAATAAAAATTTTCATCATCATTTAGACATTGGTTATCTCCCCCCAAAAAAAAAGTCAACGAATGTAATGATATTATTATTACTATACTAAATTGAAACACACCTTGTCACATTTGTCTTTTATGTCCTGAAGCATTTTATTTTTCCAGAAACATCAAGTTTTAATTAAATTTTTACAACTTTTACATCATTTTTCTTCTCAAAATTTGTTTAAAAATTTTCATCATCATCATTCTTGTTTAAAATGATTATAATTGATATTTTTTTTTTGCTGAAAAAAAGCATAAAAATAGATACTTTTTTGCGCCAGACACACACACAAACACACATGAATATTAGCGGTAGCCACATTCATTTCCTATTGCCATTGATCATGATGATGATGATGATGATGATGACGATTGTGATCAGAATAATGGCCTTGTTTTAGATGAATGAGAAGAAGAAAAAAAAATTTCATTTTATAGTTTATGGATTCAATATATAGATTTCTATCATCATCATCATCATCATCAACATGGTAATCATGTGAAAACAGACACACAGACACACACACACACACACACAAACACGAAACGTTTTATTCCAGAATGATATAGTAGCAAATGGGGAAAAATAACAAAAAAAAGGTCGTCAAAATTATTGGATACAAATAGAGAAAAAAAGAAAGTGAAAAAAAATATGCGAAAAAAATCCCATAGTTGAAATAGAAATTAACCTAATCATTATGATGATGATGATGATGATGATGATTATGATGGATGACTGATGACTGATGATCGTGTGGTCGATCTGATCACATCGACGCCCGAAAAAAATATATTTTTCTTTTTTCCTCCGTTAGTTAGTTAGTTTTACTACTACTGGAAATTGAGAAAAAAAAAGAGAAAAATCGTTTTTTTTTTATTTCGGCTGCCATAATCATCACTAAACCAATATAATGTGTATATATAATGGAAAAAAAAAAAAAAAAAAATAAACTAGGCCATCACAATTCATTTGTGCGTCAAAGACAATCCAATACGACCCCACTGGAAAAAAAACATTCATAATATTCAAATATATAATTGCAATGATAATGATTCATAAAAAAAATAGCAATCACAGAACCAACCAACGAAAAAAACGTTATCAATTTTCCCAGTATGAATTTTCGATTCTTTTCTTTTTTTTAAAAATTCCACATCGATGTAATCATTGATTATTCTGTTTCAAATGAATATTTTATATTCAAGTTTCATATATACTCAATTATTCTTGATGATGAATCTGAAATTAAAAAAAATTCTTGTCTTTTTGTTGTTGTTGTTGTTGTACAGGATGATGTTGATGATTAATTAATTATATTCATCTTATATGATGATTATAATTCTGATGACTAAACACAATAAATTTCATTTCATTTGATCTGGGTAAAAAAAAAATTTTAAGACAAAATTCAAATGGCTCAAAAATGGCTTTGCTAAAAACATCTCGACAGCCATCAATGATAATGATATTAGTGCGGTAATCAATGCAGAACCACCATCACCACCACCACCACCACCATCACCATTGTATACATTATTTGCATTTCTATTGACATAAATGCACGTTCATCCATTCATCGTTTGTAACCGACATCGACGACGACGACGACAACAACAACAACGACGAAAAAAAAATGCCGACGATAGTTGGATGCATATTAGATGAAAACGATTGCCATATACACACAAAACACACTTATACTATATCAGTTTCTTTCGCATGGTTTGAGCTTTCCGAACTTGATTTTTTTTTCTTTTCGTTTCTTTCTTTTAGCATTCGTAAGCAAAAGAAAAAATATTCTTGGTTTATGGATAGGGGAAAAAAAAAAAAAAAAAAATCCTGAAACGGTTGTCTGAACACAATTCAAACCAAACGGGAAAAAGAAAAAAATTCATGCATGTGTGTGTGTGTGTGTTCGTTCATATACACATCAGTTCCGATCAGAATGGAAGTAAAAAAAAAACCAAGTTACACATGAAAATTTTTCGAAAACAATTCGATAGATTTGTTTGAAAGAGAAAAGCACTCGACTTTCGATGATGATGATGATGATGATGATGATCACTGCGTGGATAAGTATTTTCCAACAACCAAAATCCACACAAGACAATTTGGTCAATACACACAGTAGGGTGGTGTTTGTTTTTTCGTTTTTGTTTTGTTCTGCTGGAAAGGAAATTCATCAAAAGATAAAACAATGGATAAAGTAAAATTAGAGAGAGAGAGAGAAAAGAAACGTTTGATTCGGTTCATTTACGATTTTTTTTTGCAAATTAGATTGATTCAATGATTCTTCATGAATTTTGTTCTTGGACATCATCAATGGATGAAAAAAATTTGAAAGTTTTTTTTTGAGAAAAAAATTAATTTTTCATTTCAATAATGTTAATGGATTTGGTAATTATTATTGTTTTTCTTTTTCTTTTTTTGCTCATTTTATATTTTTCAAAATAGTGGTTGAGCGAACAAATACAGCATCGATCAAATCATCATCATCATCATCAGCATCATCCACAAATATCATGATGATTGATCATCATACAACAACAAGTGCCAAACAACGTGAACAAACATCAATGAATAATGATGATGATGATCAAATGATTCGTGTACGAGTGTTAAATTCATCAGAAGTATATGAAGGAAATGATGCAATATTAAAATGTGAATACAATCGTTATAATTCATTATATGAAGTAGCAGCTTGGTTTCGTGATGATGGCCGTATTTATTTACCATTAGAACGTCTTGTATCCAGTATACGACGTACATTGTCCGGTGGATTATCGACATCTTCCTCATCATCATCATCATCATCATTATCGTCCAATAAAATTCACTATGGTAAGTTTAGAATGTTAGAAATTCTTGAATCTACACTAAACTAACTGTGATATATATGTTGACATTTTACCATGGTGAACAACGAAAGGGAAAAAAACTTCATTTTAATCGTTATTTGTGTTATATTGACTACATCCAAAAAAAAATTGGGCTAATTAGCGAATTTGTTTGTGTTTTTTTCACCATTTTGAATTCTAAATCTTCAATACTAGGTAGCTGTTAATTTTTATTTTCTTTGTTTGCAATTCAAATGTAAAATACTTGGCACAGAAAAAAAAATAATTTGCCATGAAATTCCAATTCGAACAAATTAGCCATTTAGTTTTTCAATATAAAAAAAAATAACGGTAACAAGCCCTGAAAAAGTGCAAGAATTTGTTTTTTCTTCTCTTTGTGAATTGAGAAAATAAAAAAAGAGAGAGAGAGTGAGAGAAACTTTGCTTTTAAAATTCATTAAGAACTCTTAATAATAATAATAATAATATAAAATTCAGCGAGATTCATCTGGAATAAATTAGCATCTGGACTTTTGAGTAAAGGAATAAATTATTCTCTTGTTTCCCTATTGGGAATAATGTACCAAAGAAAAAAAAAAAAATAATAATAATGATGGCTAAATGTTTGTGAAAGAATTTTTCTCTGTTTACCAAAATGTTTGAATCTCAAAAACAGATGGGTTGAAATGTATTAGATTCCATAAACCAAGAAAATTCATATCCAAATCCAAATTGTTTTCTCTTCAATAGCCAGACGAAAAACAAAAACAGAATTAATAATTGAAAGAAAACAAATTTCAATTTCAATATGTGAATTTAAAATTGTTTTTTTCTGTTCACCGATTTGCAAACAACTATTATTTTTTCTTCAACGATGGTCAACGATTCATTTCTTTTTTTTTGTTCGGTTATTATTTTCATTTTTTTTCCCTATTACAATATCGAATTGTTTGTGATTCTATTCCCGGATAAGAATTGTCGTCATCGATTTTGTTGTAAATAATATCTGAAAATACAAATAATAATAATGGCTTCTGAATGGATTAAATTGAATCTGAACCAATCCTCCTCACCAACCCCCAACCAACCAAACATTCATTCATTCATACAAGTTCACGTCTGTTTTCATTTCATTTCTTTATTTTTGTTTTTCCAATGTATGCGTTTTTCTTTCTTTTGATCCTTCTTTATGGATTGAAATGAATTCATTTAGCGATTGGAACCATTATTATTGGAGCTCTTACCAGCAGCAGCAGCAGCAGTAGCAACATTCACTGTTGTCGATATTGTCGTATAGTTTGTATGTTTTTGTATTAAATGTAGCGGCCAGTACGTGATTGTAATCGGTAAAATGGACAACAGACCAATGTCGATGGTAGATGAAGAAGAAGAAGAAGAAAAAAAATTTATTATTCAATACAACAAATGATTGGAACAAGAGCCATTCGATTTTTTTTTTTCTTCTTCTTCTTCTTTTCATCTCATTCATTGGTTGGCTTAAGCTTGCCATCATTGAATTTGGTCTGGCCACTATACATACATACATGAAACGTCGTTGAACGTTGTCGTCATTTTTTGGGAGAAAAACGACAAAAAAAAAAAAAAGCTAATCAAAAACTCAATCACATACACATACACACACACACACACACACACATCAGATCAAATCAAGAATATAGAGCAAGAGAACGAGAGAGAAAAAACTAAATCGAATTGCAAAGCCAAGGACAATGTGTGTGATGACAAAACACGTTAATTTTGAACACAAAATAATGATAATAATTAGATAACGACGACGATGTGAAATCAAATCGATAATGGATGTGAAAACAATGTTCATATATATGAAAAGTTTATTTGTTTGTCGTTTGGGATGATAATGGCCAATGTTTGGACAAATGTTTGTTTCAGGTTTTTTTTCAGGTCTCAGTAATAATGAAAAATGTTTTTTTTTATCACATGAATTTGTCAATCAATTTCAAGTTTGAATTCAAAAATTTTTTTTTATTTTCATGTGTTCATATATTTTTTTTTGGTATTTGAAAAGAATTTCGAACCATACAAAAAAGTTATTTATGGAATGTTCTCTCACATTCACGCAATAATATTTATGATAATGTGAACGTTTGAATTGAAACGAAAAAATAAAATCCAAATCGAATCGCGAATGGAATGAATTTTTATGGTCAATTTTTACCGACATATGCATTAAAATTTGTGTGTTATTTATTTCTCATTTTTTTTTGTTTTGTTTTGAAATATCGGTAATCAAAAAAAAAAAGAAAAAAAAAGTTAAATATGAACCCATCATTTATATTGTGTCACATTGAATGATTGAATAACATCATCATTTTTTTTTATTTCCAGTAAATTTTTCCACAATCAAACATTTTGTTCTACCCGGTAGTGGTGATTTGCTCATTTCAAGCGTTAACTATCGTGATGCTAAACATCGTTATCGTTGCCAAATTCGTCACCAGATTACAAATCGTCGACAATATTCTCAATCATGGGCACATATTTTATTTAAAAGTAAGTTTAATTCATTCCATACACATGATTCAAGATGATTTTTTGTTGTTGTTGTTGTTGTTGAACCAATATTATTAGAAACAAATGATTTTTATAATTCCGGTCCAAGACTTAATCCACAATTACAAAGTCGACATACGGTTGCCATTAATGAAGGTGAATCTGCATTTTTCTATTGTTCATTTGATGGTTATCCAACACCATCTATTGAATGGTATCATACTGATCTGAAAACATTAAGTACTGGTTCTGAATCTTTGGCCCAATCATCATATTCTATCGGCTATGAGCCGTATGTTGCTCATTCATCATCCAATAATAATAATAATAATAATAATAATGTCAATGGTGATCGTAATGGACCCATTCCAATATCGAAACAAACATCAAATCTAGCCAATGGTCAATATATTTATGGCCGTAATTTTCTTTCAATTGAAAGAGTTTCGATTGAAGATACGGGAATTATTTCTTGTGTGGCTAACAATTCTAATTCCATCATACGACATGAAATGCTTCTTTTTGTCAAAAGTAAGTTCTAATTATATTCTAAATTGATCTAATTTGATTGACATGTCGATCATTTTATTTTGTATAGGTTTCTTACAAGTTTCATTACATACAACATCTTCGATGCCATTTCCTGGACAAGATGTCACATTAAGCTGTAATCTGACAGCTGTATCATCATTTTTTTCTACCGTTCAACCAAGTGCCTTTTCTAGTTCCAATATATTTGCCAGTGAACAAAATTCCAATCAAAATAGCCATCATCATCATCATCATCTTGATCAACAACGACAACAGGAGAAACGTTTTCGTGAATTAATTAGCTCACATTTTATGCTCAACATTAATTGGTATCATAATGGACGAATGATCAATTATGATCATCGTAAAAGACGTTCAGCTGAAGAACTTTTACTAATAAGAGATTTTCGTGGTCCAGAAGATAATGGTGTTTATCAATGTTCAATACGATTGACTGCTCCTGATTATGATGAAGAATCATTTATGACTGCCATCCATATTAATTCTATTGGTTAGTATTTGAAATAAAATAAAACAAAACAAAACAAAAATTGAAAACAATTAGTCACAATAAATCACAATTGTAATAAGTGAACATTATTTTATTCTAACCATTATCATTATTATTTTATTTTATTTCTATAGAAAAACCACCAGAATTTGTTGATGTTTTTACGGATCAAATCAAACAGACTGAAGGTCCAAAACGTGATTATCTTTCATTGAAATGTTCCGCTTATGGTATACCAATGCCACAAATTAGATGGTTTCTTGATGGCATAGAATTATATTCCAATGGTCACGTTCGAATTGAAACTTTTACCGAATCATACAATAATATGGTTGGATCTCAACCATCTTCTTCTTCTTCTTCTTCCTCATCATCATCTCCATCATCTTCATCGTCTTCGTCATCATCTTCAACAACAGCATCACGATCTATGCTTTCTGTATCGTATCTCAACATAAGTTCTTTACATTCAAAGGTCTGTTTGTTGAAGAAAACAATATTTATTGAATTGGATACTAACTAAATCCTCTTTTTTTTTTGCCATAAAAAACAATTTTTTACCATTCTCTATTCATTCAATAGGATGTTGGAATCTATGAATGCATAGCGGATAATTATTTAGCTAGCATATCACATCGTGCACGAATCAATCAAATAGGTCCACCTTTTATAAAACCATTGAATAATCAAACTGCCGTACTTGGCCGACCATATACTATTAATTGCACGTATGGTGGATATCCGTTAGAAGAGGTTTATTTTGTTAAAGGAAAAATTGGCAATAATGGTGGTGGTGGTGGTGTTGGTGGAAAATCATCATCTACCGGTAGTATTGTGTCATCAAGTAATAATGGTGAACTAAAACGAATGCCATTTGATGAACGACATTTAGTACCAATGCTTGGTTCAATTACTATAACAATAGTGGAAAAAAGTGATCAAGATTATTATCGTTGTGTGGTTGTGACCAGTAGTGGACAAAAAGCTGAACAAGAATTTTATCTTCATGTTGCTGGTAAGTGTGTGTGTTGTGTTGTACGGAAATTGTCAAAAAAAAATTCATTCTGGATTTTCGCTCTCACTTTAACCCTTGTTAAATCTTCCGCCTATTTACTCATTATTATGATTATTAGCGTGTGGATAATTAGAATGTTGAAAAAATAATCATACTTTTTTCATTGTTTTCATTCTTTGTTGAATTTGTTTCGTTCTAGTTGCTCCGGTCATCAGTCCGATTGTATTTTCGGATAATTTTGAAGAGGGAAAACGTGGATCAGCTGTTTGTACAGTCACTTCTGGTGATCCACCTATACAGATTTTTTGGTTTAAAGATGGAATACCATTAGAAACAATAAAAACAATTGGCTCATCAACGCATGGTCGACCAAATAAATCTCATCATTATGTTCATCATTTGAATCAGATTCAAATTGTACCAATTAATGAATTTATGTCATCATTGATTATTGCCAATATTTCTCGTCATCATCAAGGTACCTATACTTGTATGGCTTCATCACCAATTGCGACGACAAATGTATCGGCATTTTTATCGGTAAAGGCAACTCCACAATGGTTATTGAAACCGGCCGATCAAAACTCTGTTGCAGGTGAATCACTTACACTTGATTGTCAAACATCAGGTCAACCACCACCTGTAATTCGTTGGAAATTTTTAAAAAATGAGGTAACACTATTTTGGATTTTTTTTTAAATTGTGATGAATAGCTAATAACTCTTTTATGTCTGAATTTCAATTTCAGCCTTATCGAAATGAACCAATACCAATATTGAGTAGCCAACAGATTCATGTACTGGAAAATGGTTCATTATTTCTACGAGCTTTAGAACCAAAACATTCAGGAATTTATATCTGTGATGCATCCAATGAAGTTAGCAAACATTCGATCGAATCTCGTGCCTATGTAACTGTCAGCAGTTTGCCAAAAGTGTCCATACAGAATACATTGGGTAATGCAGCCGCATCGATACCAAATTTAATTTCCAAAGGGTCAAATTCAATGTATCGTGGCTACACAATGGATCGATTAGTTTTACGTAAAGGATCACAAACACAGTTGATGTGTTCAGTGATTGGTCTGGAACAACCGATGGTTGCCGAATGGCTACGACCTAATGGCGAGACTAGTGATGAATGGAATGAAAAATCAAAAACAAAAACTTATCTTGATTCATCGCGTATAGTATTACGAGAGGAAAGTAAAATGAATGAAAAACGAGCTTATCTATATATTAGCCATGTTGGTCGTATGGATACTGGCATCTATTGTTGTATGGGTATCAATAGTAATGGTTATACAGTTTCATTTATCGAGCTTCTTGTACAAGAACCACCAGATATGCCTGTCAATTTTCATGCACAAGAAATCAATAGCCGTTCGATTACATTGAATTGGTCGATCAGTTTTGGTGGTAATTCACCAATCACATCTTATGTGGTTGAATATCGACCAATAACAATAATGTCAAATACAAATATAAATACGAATACGAATAATAATAATGATGATAATGACAACAATAATAATAATCATCATCATCATAACAATAATAATAATATCAAACATAAGAATGGACAACAACCGGATAATAGTAACGATATTGAAACGAAAAGTAAGTGTCTCATATTTTCCGTTACATTCTTTCTGTTTTTTTTCTTATTTTTATTCTATTCAACTACTCGAAAATGTATCTTGAACTTTTTTTTTGTTGTCTGATAACATTCATATATTTATCCAAAAAGCTGTTTTTAATGAGCCAGATTTTGACTATCTCACTATTTTTTTTTTATTATTCTTGGAAAGATTAGTTTTCATAATATGCTTTTTATTCTGATTCTTCAATTGGTCCGGATTAAGACCATTAGTAGTAGTAGAATATCACTAAGAATGAAATGAGAAAAAAAAAGATGCTTAGATACCATCGTTTATTGGTGAGGTGATCACATATATACCAAATTGAATCGTTATTATTATAGAATCTCTATGGACCTTGTTTGTATGAATTTTTTTTTTTTTTTGTACTGAGATAATGATGATGATGATGATGATACCAACACCAACACCAACACCAACACACTTGGAAACACTAGAATAATCGAATGGGTATTATTGTTAAACAAATTTATCCATACATATTCCATTTATATTTTTTATGTTTCATTTTTTTTTACTGTTTTGTTTGTTTTAATTATATAAGGCTTATTTTGCTATAGCTATAGCTATAGCTGCAAGAATCTAATCAAATTGTTATTGTTATTATGATTAGACATCATTTATTCATTTATAGAATCTCTAGAATTTGTTATTAATTTTTTTTTCTTCTATGTTATTTTTATAATTGAATAATCAAAATAGTTTTAACAGCTAAATCATTGACAACTACCATTACGATTAATGCACTTAATCCTCTAACTACATATGAATTTCGTGTTTGTGCCATTAATGAATTGGGCGCCAGTCCATTCTCTGATCCATTGATTATTAACACCGAAATGGAAGGTAAGTTATTTATTTATTTATTTTTATTTCGTTTGAATCAATAGAAAAAAAATTCTATCCCTGCTGATATCAGTGATAATAATAATGATGATGATGATGATGAGAAGCGCAGAATCGTACGATGTTGATTAATCATCCAGAATCGATCGATCCACTATTTATTTCTCTTTCTCACTGTTCTTGTTTTTACTTTATGTGAAGAGCTCACAAACTTGATAAGTGGCTTGTTATAATAAGAGTAATGATTATCTTTCATTCTATGTTCCGGTTTTTTTTTCGTTCATTCGTTCCAGAATTAACGAAAAAAAAAATTCCAAACACTAGAAATTTATCGATTGATTTTTTATTCTATCACTACATTAGTATGTGTTTTTCAAGTGTATGTAATCGAATATGATATCTGCGTATATAATAATTAGCTACTACCACTATTGCTACTACTACAATTCTGTATGATAAAAGTTCCATTGTTTGGTGCATACATCAAATAACGAATTTTCCAATTTTTTTTTCACCCATTTATTTTCCTACGAATTGAATGAAAAATCGATTAAAGAAAATGTATTTATAGAATCGTTACCGTTGTAAACATTTATTATTATTATTATTATAAAAACAACAAAAAAAACGATGATTATAATATTGGAAACTGAAAACTTTTTGTTTTCGTATTTCATTCATTCACTATTTTTTTCATGCACATTTAATCATAGGAATTTTTAAATCAAATGTCCGAAAAAAAAGAGTAGAAAATCGAAAAAGTTTTTTGTTTCTCGGGCACCAACTAAAAGTGCCAATCAAAATGGTGTGGAAAAGTTTTATTTTGATAAAAAATAGATATCTTCAAACCTATTCATTAAGTTTGATCGAATAAAGCTGTTGAACTGTTTATATATGCTAATTCTTAGCCGAATTTTTTTTTCTTTTTCACATTTGTTGTTTGTTTGAATTTTCAATATCGAATCGTTTTTTTTTCTTGTTTTTTCTTATCTTTCTGGTGAAACCCAGCTCCTTCATTGATTCCATTAGACTTGCGAACATTGGTGCTTGGATCACGGTCGATCAAATTGATTTGGTCAATTGTATTAACAACAGAACCACCAATCGAACAGATCGATGGATTCTATATCGGATATCGACCTGTCATTTCATCTACTAGTAGTAATGGTGTTACAACGAATAATGTTGTACAATCAAGTGGATCAATCATCGATCCATCTACTGGTATTATAATGATGATTGGAACAAATGCTGCTGCTGCTGCTTCTGGTGGTGGTGGTGGTGTTGGTGGTGTTGAACGAATAACAATGATAGATCAATCAAACAATGGTGGTGTTGATCAAAGTACAAACAATAATAACAACAACAACAAACCCGTTATCATTTCAAACAATGGTGCAGTCAATAGTAATCTGAATAATGGAAAAGCAGTACCATATACGTTTAAAATTATGTATGAAGATCATTCAAAATTTGTATCATCAAACATTTTATCAATGGCAATCTATAATGGTTCTAATGTATTACAACGACAAAACAATGAAAATAAACAGCCATCGAATAATAATAATATGACAACATTTTGTGAAGTGATACGTACATCAACCGATTCAGATAATGGCAATATTAATAAGCCTAATAAATTTTATCCAACCAAACAACAACAACAACAATGGTCCACAATGACAATAAATCAACGATCCAAATTGAATGGATTAAAATCACGTGATGATACACAGATTCGTTGTGTATATGAATTTGTTGTGAATAATTTACAACGAAAAACAAGATATGGATTTATTATTCAGGCATTCAATGCTAAAGGAACTGGCCCAGTAAGCACTGAAGTGTATGCACAAACTTTACTCAAAGGTAATATATCATATTGATTGTCGTTTTTTTCTAGATAATTACATTTTCTCTCTCTCTCTTGAATTTAGATCCACCGGGAAAACCTGTGATAAAATTAACCAATGTAAGCCTATATGAGGCATCATTCATATGGTCAATGCCACATGTCAATCATAATAATGGAAATGAAATTGGCAATGAAATACTAAATGATTTTGACATGGATAATCAAAATCCGATCAATATTGAAGGCTATATTATATCATATCGTGCATTGATCAAACGTATCACAGCATTTTCCGGTTCATCAATAGTAGATGATACATTATTCGATCAAGCTGAATTTATTCATCCGGATTCTATTGATGATGAAAATGATGAACAACAATTATATGGTCGTAAATATCAGGCTAATAATTGGGAAACAATATCCGTTTCGGAAAAAATTCAAGGACATACATTACGTAATCTTCGTTGTGGTACATTATATCAGGTTCGTGTAGAGGCATTCAATGAAATGGGCAATGGTGAACCATCGGATGTGCTACAATTTTCTACACTTGGACAAGGTAAAAAATTAAATATTTTTTTTTCTTTTGCAAGCAATATTCATTCCATTATGGTATTACCGTATTAAAACCATAAAAAAATTATTAATTTTTTTTACACTTTTACAATCGAAAATTGCAAACAAAAGGCTTAAAAAATTGATTAATTGCAAATACCTAGTATGAATAGGAATGGGGAAAAAAGTAAAATAATAAAAAAACGATAATGCAGCAAATGTACTTGAATGAATGATTGAAAAGCGGATCATATCACAACACACACACACACACCAGGCTATAAAGATTGAATTGAATCCAATTAATCAAAATTTTGATTGAATTTTTTTTTGTTTGCCACTTTTCTCATCGTTGATTATTATTGATCTTTGGTGCAAACACATAAATACTTTCAACAAAAAAAAAAAAAAAATGAAAAAATGAAAAAAGAAAAGAAAAGATTTTTCATCAATTCTTTTTTTTCTAACACACTTCATACACACATCAACAATGTGTTATCGGTTCCCATGATTCTTAATCCTGTATTGATATTCAACTATATAACAACTATTCTGTTCTGTTCCGATTACATTCTTTTGGTGTGTGTGTGTGTGTGTGTGTGTGTGAGTGGGTGATTTGATTTAAACTCAGTTTCAATTCATACAATGAAAACAAATTATCTTTTTTTTATTCGCAAATAAAAAAAAAAGAAAATCGAAAAAAAACTTGTCATTGCTTTGATGATCGATTTTTTTTCTCGTTTAGGCTGTTTTTTTTTCATTGTTGTTTTATTATTATTATTATTATAATAATGGCCACACAATTTATTGTGATGATGATTTTTGATTCAGGTTACTGTAATATTTTTTTCTTTCTTTCATATAATCAATTCATCATCTTTTCTGGTGATTCACTATCTTTTTTTTCATGTTTTTTTTATCAATGATTATGCATACAAAAAAATTATATAATAGAAGAATTTTGATTCGTTAAAATCTACTTAACGCAATCACTCAACAAAAATGAAATGAGAAACAAAATTCGATTTAAAGAAAGAATATTTGAAAAGATCATGATTTTGATAAATTCTGTCCGAAATTTTTTTTTTTTTTTTTTTATTTAAACGATTATGTAGATGGAATTTTCCCATTTTTTTCTTGATTTGATTTTGATTTTTTGTTCTCAGTTATAGTTTGTCAATGACTTGGCTATTTTAGACCAAATGATGTGTGTGTGAGAGAGAGAGAGAGAAAATTGTGTGGATTTTCAGTTTTCACTGAGCTGGGCAATTTTTGTTTGTTTGTTTGTTTTAGTAACGATAAAATCTTCAAGTTTTCAGCAACAATATTAACAGCTGAAAAGTAGTAATAGTGGTACCCATCTTTGGATCATTTGATATCGAATCGACTTTGATTTGATATCAAATGAACCAATTTTTTTTTCTCTGAGGTTTGAATGTTGATATGTTTTTTTTCTAATATAAAAATATATGTTGTATTTGGTTTTCAAATATTTTTTTTTCTGCTTGAAATGTTTGTCAAAAAAAAAAAAAATTTCTAGACACACTGATGGAGCAAGCAAATAATAATGTTGTTGTTACATTTTGAAAATGTTGTTATTTTAAATAGATTTTGATTTGATTTGATAGTTTCATTTCTATCTTTGTTTTTTTCTTCATGTTTCTGTGAGTGTAAATTAGATTTTTGTTTCCAATAAAGTTTTTTTTATTCTTTTTTTTTCAGTGAAGAGATTCACGATAGGAATCTAGTGAAAACAGAATTTTTTTTTTTTTTTTTTTCTTGGTCATCACACAACCAATTTTTTTTCTCCGCTTTTGCTTTCTCATCCGAATTTGAACTTATTCATAGTTGAAGAATGTATATGAAAAAAAAACATTTTTCTCTACACTTGTAACTTAATAAAACAAATCATGACGCCTTTTCAAATTATATAATGATGATGTGGATGATGATGATGTTTTTCACATCATACTCACACAAATATAGACTTCAAATGGCAAAAACAAAAAAAAAAGAAAAAAGAAATTGATGAATCTTGACAGTTGACATTAAATTTAATTTATAATCTAATTTCATCTCATTTTTATCCCGCTTATTTTTTTATTTTATTTTTATTTTTTTTTTGTATAAAAATGGCTAATGGTAGCGCCAGCAGTGCCAAATAGCAATGCATTCATCATATCGAATATAACTTCGGTCATGTTAGATTTGGATCGTTGGAACAATGGCCTATGTCCTATAATTAACTTTGCATTACGTTATCGTATAAAGGATCCGAAATTTTTATCATCATCATCGAATGATAATATAAACAACAATAACAATTGGATAACAGTTTCAAGTTATTTAAAACCAGAATATGGTGCCATGTATATTATAAGAGAACTAATACCGGGTACTTGGTATGAATTGAGTATTATTGCAACCAATGATGCCGGTGAAAGTGAATCCCGTTATCTATTTTCAACATTAACATTGGATGGTGCAACCGTTGAACCATTATATGCATCCGATTATAATCGTAGACATTTGGGCGTTATTGGTGGTGTTACACAAACGGACAGCATATTTGAAGATCCAATGATTTTGATACCGGCTACTTGTGCCATACTTGTATTGTTGGTGATTGGTGCTGCAACCATTTTCATATTTATAACTAGAAGTAAAGAAGCCTTATCGCGTACTGAACATTGTAATTGATGCAATTTTGAACGAATTCACTGATTAATAATAATTTTTTCTTTAATTGTTTTTTAGTTTGTCGACATCGAGAAAATAGCCGAACTGATCAATTATCATTGAATTTGTTTACGAAAAATTATTCCAAATCTGACTTGATACGTTCATATAATGAAGGTGGTAATTGTGGTGATCCACATAAATTAACTCAAATTGAAACATTGAATTGTGGTCAATCAACAGAAATGATCAATGGTGGACCAATAATGAATATTACATCACAATATGTTGAAGGACCAACATCGTTGACCACTTATACAACAAGTGATTGTGATCCAAATAGTTTGCCACCAATTATGGATGGTGTTTGTACACCATCACATAGAATCAGTAAATTAGCCAATAGTAAACCTATTGTTGAATCATTTTATTCAACACCATGTATTGCTACACAATCCAATTCAATGTTGACTACACAAACACCGCAACAACCGCCGCCTCAATCAACACAATTAACCAATTCTTATTGTACACAAACAATGAGCAAACCAAATACGGCAACAAAATCATCACAACTTTTGGATGAATTTAATCATCCTCATCATATACATCATCATCATCATCATCATGAAGAATCAGGAATAATTTATGAATGTAATGGTAACAAACAACAATCACAACAACAGCATCCATATTATACACATTCACAATTTTTAAATCCATGTCCTTCAAATTCAAATGATACAAATACCACTAGTTTAGCGTTGCAACAATTATCAAAGAAAAAATCGGACAAAGATCATATCTATGAACTTCCAAAGCAACAGCAGCAGCAGCAGCAACAACAACAACAACAATCTAATCCATCGAATAACGTTGAACAAAATGTAAAAAGTCATTAGATTTTGATATTTTTGGATTTTTTTTTCTCATAAATCAATTCTAAATTCCCATTAGGATGCAAATTTGGTTGTGATGATGATGCAGCAGCAGCAGCAACAACAACAACAACAACAACAACAACAATCGTCTATGGGAACAATGAATCGTAATCAAGTGACATTACAAAGTCCTCATCGATTAAGGTAACATTTGTATGGAAATGACGACAAAAACTAACGTCTTTTTGTTTTTCCATTTTTTTTCAGAACCGATCAAATTGGAAACTTGCGAAGTTTTCATCAGCAGAATTTTTGAATTTTTGAATTTTTTTTCGATTAACTCATTTTCATTTCTATTGTACGTCAGTGATAATTGTGCTAAATGACGTAAATTTTCCTCTATCGACTATGTTAAACAAACAAATTTTTTTCCCTATGGTGTCTATCCTCGGAAAATTTATCTTGTGATCATTTGATATTTTACAAATATACATACATCATACACAGCCATTTATTGTGCCTTTATCATCATCATCTTCATCATCACAATTATTGCAACCAAATTTAACTTTTGGTGTTTTGTTTTTTTTTCTTATTATTGATTTATTCATCTGAAATGATTAATTAGTTTGTAATTTCAATTGGAATTTATGTGAATTTTTCTTTTTTCTTCTGTTGATAAACCCTTTGTTCACTATTAATTGAAATATGCAATCAAATGTGCACATGTACACAACAATTCAAATATCAACAAGAGAAAAAAATGATGTTCGATTTAAATCTATATAAATAAATTCTTTCGAATCAATTCCATGTTCATTTTTCATTAATTTCCTACAAAAACATGACAAAGTTATCGATTAAAGATTTTTATAATGATAAAACACTATTACTGACCGGTATCACCGGTTTTGTTGGTAAAGTTTTACTTGAAAAACTTTTACGAGAATTTTCAACATCATTAAAATGTATCTATGTATTGATTCGAGAAAAAAAATCTCAAACACCTGAACAACGATTGGCTCAATTATTTTTCCAATCACCGATATTTGAACCACATAAAGACAAAATTGATCTTGTTCATGCAATCAATGGTGATATTACTGCTAAAGGCATGGCATTATCCGAAAATGATCGTCGAAAATTGATTGATGAAGTGAATATCGTATTTCATTCTGCTGCAACTGTTAATTTTACCGGCATTTTTGAAAAATTTATTCAACAAAATATTGATGGCACAAATTCAATGCTGCAATTGTGTCAGAAAATGATTCATCTTCAATCGATTGTTTATGTTTCGACGGCTTATGGTAATTGTCATTTGAGAGAAATCAAAGAGAAAATCTATCCAGTTATTCAAGACGAAAATTTTGATTCATATTTAGAACATTTAAAACAAAATTATAGCAATTTAAATTTTAAAAAAGGTCATCATTCATTACTTGGCCGACCTAATCCATATACTTTATCAAAATCGATCACTGAATGGATGATTCAAGAACGATATCCATCACTTCCTATTATAATTTGCCGCCCTTCAATTGTGAGCAATTCTTTCAGAGAACCAATACCAGGTTGGTGTGATTCATTAGCCGGTTGCGCTGGTGCAGTCATTTTGACTTCACTTGGTATCGCTCGTTCATTTATATTCGATGTTAATTGCAAGGCTGACATAATACCAGTGGACATGGTGGTCAATTCGTTGATAATTTCTGCTGCATATCGAGCATCATCATTGTTTACTCACGATAAACAAGTTATTCATGTAACTTTGGGACAAAATCAGATTACATGGGGTGAATTTTTCAATATGACAATCAATCTTTCCGATACACTACCACCAATGAAATTGATTCGACCAATCAAACTGCATGGTAACAAACATCAATCGTTTATGGATCGTATCAACTATAAATTTTCATTGATATTCTCGCATTATTTGTTTGCATATTTTTTTGACTTTATCTGCATTCTTATTGGTCAAAAACCATTTATGATCAAATTGATCAAAAGATTGAATAATAGTTCACATGTTTTGAAGCCATTTTCTTGTAGTGAATGGAATTTCCGATATCAAAATCTGAATTTCATTACCAAACACATGGATAAAAATGAACGTGATGTTTTTTGTACCGATATCAACATTATTGATTGGCCACTATATTTTTATAATTTTATTTTAGGTTGTCGACGTTATATATTGAAAGATCCTGATTCAACATTAAAAATGGCCATTAATCGTCAACATCGGATTAAATATATATTGATTACGATGAAAATAATTGTCACTTTATTCTGTTATTGGCTAATACGATCACCATTGCATTTGGTGGATATCTTTTATTCATACATTGTAGATTTGTCAGTTTGTATTGGCATTGTTTTGTATTTCTTAAATTTTTATGGCTAAATTTAAATTTAATAAATGATTTATAAACATTGGTTTACATAATAAAATTGATTTTTGTTTGAATTTTTTTTTCATTAGTTTATTTTCCAACCAATAGATGGCGAACCTTATTTTATGAATTTTTATTTCAATCAATCAATTTGATTTGAGATTTTTGTTTTATTATTATTGGATTGGATTAACACTGGACAAAAAGACGTAATGTATTTTTTTTTTTTTTGGTTTGGTTTCGAACACTCATGATAATTTTCATTTTTTTTTTCTTCGTTCAGATTTTGACAGTTTAATCCAAAATGTTTATTATGAATGAATGAATATGAAAATCTATTATTCATCATCATCATCATCATCATTATGGCTACTGTGTAAACGGATGTAGATTTATTGTATAAACAGTGAGAAAGAAAGACAAACAATATTCTGTCCATCTTTCTATCAACATGAATGGTGATAATCATTCATCTTGTCTATGGGTTTTTTTGTGTGTGTGTGTGTGTGTGTGTGATATAAAATAAAATACTTGGATTCATTATTCATCACACACACACACATACATACAATGTGTTAACAATCACAAACAATTTTCTCATATTAGTAGTGTGTGATAGGATAATTCCAATTTTTGGATCAAAATGATCAATATCCATTCACAAACACACACACACACAGATACAGACGGATAAACAATCCTTTTTCCTATCGATTCATTCATCATCATCAATCAATCTTAATAATAATTTTTTTTGGCATTGCTTTTCACAAATATTATATTGTATGCGGATCATATATAGACCAATGATATATATGATTCAATGTATAATATAAACATTTCATCATTGGCGTCAAAAATGAACCAAAAAAAAAATGCTAAACATGGAAAATTATTATTATTTTTGTATTCCGAATACAAAATTTGTTCATAATAACTTGTTATTATCATCATATCATTATGATTATCATAATAATGGTAAAATTATCAATCCATTTGATAATCGAATATTAATTGACCAATTAAAGTATGTGGCTGATGAATGTGAATGATTTTAAAAGTGGCCAATGTCAATGGACAATGTTAAAATGATTGGATAGATTTTTTTTTCAAAATTTTTGTTATTTTTTAAAACTTATTATATTCACCAGCAAACATTATTCACCAACACCCATTTTTTTGGAGAACAATCTCTCGTTGGCCCCATTATTTGTTGGATTCAAAATGAATATATGTATAGCTGTTGTTTGATTAAAATGTACTTCCGTTAAATTGATATTTGATTTGAAATTTATCCTTATATATATTTATATGGCTTGAAAAAAAAAAATCGATGACAATGATTATATAGACTGCGATATGAAAACGTTTTTTAGTTTTTTTTTTTTAGTTTTTCAAATAATTGCCATTGAAATTTGATCATTTATTCATTTTTATCGTCTTGTTACGACGCTGAAATTATATTCCAAACATTTTTTATTCATTCAATGCAATAATGATCCATCATTTAATTTCATTGCATGATGATGATGATGATGATTATCACTATCGCATATGATGTTCCAAATTAAAATGATGATGATGATGAAAATGTTAATCATGAATGAATTAACATACAAGGTACGAAAAAGCCATATTATAATGATAAAATTTACAGTTATCAATTATTTGTATGGGTGAAAATCAAAATCAAAATCAAAAATCAAAAAAAAATTTCGCCATTATAGATGGAAAAAAAACGACGAGCCATCATCATCACATTATAATGTCGTTATATCGTTGTAAATTGATCTGATAATTTTCAAAAATTCCGAAATTAAATCTTTTTTTTCAACGGTGATAACGGATTTTATTTTTTTTTTTCGCAAAAAAAAACAGATTATTTATCACAAATTGAATTCGATTCAGTTTCCATGTACTAGACTTTAACTTTTACAGTGTTTGAAGGTGTCAAGAAAAAAAAAAATAAAACTAAAACTTTTTTTTTCAATCACTTCAAAATCAAGATCAATGATGATGATGATGATGGTGGAAAAAAATCTGGGCTTTTGATTATCGACGTTGAGGAAGTTTTTACTTTATATTTTTGAATTTGTAAAAAAAAAAAAATTAAAAGTCACTTAAATCACCAACAACATGAACAAATGGACATTGCTTCAAGGCTTGGATTGGATTTTTTTTTATTTTATTTTTTCATCATCTTAATCACAAGAAGAGAAAAAAAAATCACATGCCCACAAAAATTTTTTTCTTTCCCCAAACATAAACTACTAACAACAAAAAATCTTATAAGCAACAAGTTGAACGAAAATGAAAAAAAAACTAAATAAATTTATATTTGTAGATTGAATGAAGAATGAATGCATTCAAGTTCAAATGTTCATTTCATTTCCACATTTATTTATCATTTACCATTTATATTTGAGTGAATGAATGAATAAAATTCAATTATCATGCTATCACTGTGAAATGATGATATGATCTATGTATTTTATCCAGTACATGAGTAGTATTGAAACCCTGCAGGTATGTATGAATTTTTTTTTCTTTTTTTCATCTTCATCATACATATATACAAAAAAATATGATCCACAAACGCAATTTTATTTTGCTAGTACTGTCAATTTAAATTATGGAGAAAAATGATGATTTTTTTTATACGGACTGAATAGAAAAAAAAAAAAAAAAAAAAAAACAAAACAGAAAAAAATAACGGTTTGTTTGATTTGTGTGTAGAGAGAGAGAAAAAATGATGATATTTACCGGATATTCTCGGATAGCCGTAAATTTTTTCATATTTCATTTCTTCTTTAGCTTATATTATGATTGATTAATCAAAATAGGCCAAAATTATCATCATCATCATCATCATCATGATGATCATCATAGCCAACAATTCAATTCAATTTACAATATCCAAAAAAAGTTACTGACAATTATTTTTATAGGATGATGATGACAAAGGCGTCAGAAATAAAATAAAATAAAAAAAATTTATTGTCATGATTGTCGCCGTAAATTTGATTACAAACCATCATCATCATCATCAAATATACTACAAGATTTTCTGTGTCAAGGTTCATCATAAAGATCGAAAATGAGTAATGGAAACGAGAATGTATATATCACCAATCTATAACATCAATGAGTGAGACCATCAATACTAAAAAAAAACCAAATCTAGCCAAATAAAATTTTTTATTTAAACGATCCATCCATCCATTATTATTATGACAAACTTGGAACAACAAAAAATTTTTTTTTTATTTCGCATTGAAAAAAACACCAACAACCATGATCACCATGATTCATTTGTTTGATAATAATATTCTATATTTTTTTCCATGATCATCATCATCATCATCCTGATGGTAACCACGATGTTAATTGATTAATGATTTTAACGACGACAACAACAACAACAACAACAAAAAATGTTTTATGATGACTTCATTTTTCATGACACATGTGTGTGTGTGTGTGTGTGTGTAAACACAATAGATTCATTGTATTGTATTTTTTACTACACAGAAAATGAATGTCTATAACGTGAATTGAGCAAAAAAAAAAAAAATCAAAAACAAATGGGAAACAAACTGAAAAAAAAATTATTCTGCAAATTATTGAAGAATCTTCATTTCGTATATATAAAAAGAATGATGATCATCTTTATTGTTATACGATGATTTTTTTTTTTTTTTGATTATGATGATGGTAGCATTTTCTATTGTTCTTTTTTTTCCCATTAATTCTAGTTGTTTTCATTTTGAATGAAAATTTTTTTTGTTTCTCGTTTTCTGTTAATATAATTGTTTTTATATTCATTTCATACATACAGACACACACACACACACACACACATGGTGAATTTCTTTTGTTTTTAATCACAGACACATATATATATTATCAAATCTTGTTTTGAATGTTTTCCATTAATGTTTGTATAATTAACAGGAAAAAAAAACGAAACAGGATTGTAGAATTTATAATTCAAGTTGTTTGTTTTTCGGGCCAATGTGTGTAAACGATGGAAACAAAGTGTTCGACAACCCTACGTCCATATAAAATATATATGGCAATGAAATACGTCTACACGGTCATTTTAATCTGATCAACACATTATTTTTTAAGATTTTGGCCTTGTTTTTCATCCTGTTCCGTTTTGCATTTTTGCCACATTTGAAATCTGATTGAGTTGGCCCGCCATTTTTTCATTTGAAAAGAAAAAACACCCCCATGAAAAAAAAAAACATTTTAAAAAGATGATGATGACAACATTTTAAAAAGATGATGATGACAACGATAATGATGATAATGGCATTGATAAGACGAATAACGATGTAGAAAAAAAAATGATCTCATCATATTTTTATGAAGTTAAAATTGACAATATAACAAAATAAAAAACGCTAATGTTTTTTTTCTGATTAAGATGACATACAAATGATGATGATGACGATTCTATCTACTTTTATGAATGTTTTTTTGTTGTTGTTGTTGTTGTTCACTGCTTCTGATTTTCTGATTTGAAATGAATGGAAAGAATCATCTAAAATGAACCCGTTTTTTGCCCATGATCCCCAATTGGGGATCGGATACTTTATCAGTCCTGTAGGATTTACTTACATCAAAAAAAAAAAAAAATAAAATGCTTTCGATAAGAATTTAGAGTTGTTGTCATGATATATTCCTTTTTTTTGTTTTGTTTTGATGTGATTAGAATTTTTATATTTTTTTGGTTCGAATAAAAAAAATGAAGATGACATGAATGTTGGAAATTGAAAATGACAGATGTTGTTGAAAAGAAAGAACGAAGAAGAAAAAATAATTTCATCCTTTCAGACATCAATTCGTTGATCGTGATTCTTGGAAAAAATCTGATCGTGACTTATGATATTTATTTATGCTCCATCATAATCATGTATGAGATTAACGTAAGAATCATTGAAATGAAATCTACTACAGGCAACAGGTAAACCGATTGATAGTGGTGGTGACAGTCAACTATAAT